GTTGGCGTTGTAGGAGTGGTGGTTGACTTTTGGTGATTTTCCTGTTTCACGTACTATATGCCCCCCCCCTCGACGGCTCGATTCGATGAGGAAGGACAGAGGGCTGGGGGGGGGGGCTCGAGTCTGTACGATACCATACCAAAGGGGTTATGGTGTCGGACAGACTCGACTAAAATCCCCAACCAATGATGTGCCTCTGGTTGCAACGCGCCGACTCTCACCACTTTTTCTGCGTCTGCATCTCAAGTTGACTAGCTCTGTCTGCACCAGCGTCTGTGAAGTCAGCTGGGAAATGCTCTGTTAGTGCGCGTAACGCCTTCCCTGGGAAGTAGCACTTCGCCTGTAGCACTTTTCAGAGCTCTAGTACTGGTACTGCGTAGAGCTTCGAAAAATTAAGTATTAGTTTTTGTAATGGACTGGTTCAGATGGGGCTGTAATGGTGTGGGTGACGACTTCTACTCATATGGATTCGATGGGCGGCACGTCTTCTTTGCCGGCCGCGGACGAGTTGTAGCACCGAAAAAACTTGAAAAAGGCGACGTCGTGGGATGTGCACTAGATTTGAATGTGCCCGAACTCAGGTACTAAAGTTACAAATGTAATTAAATGACAAAAGAGGGGGAGTTTTACTATCTTGGGGAATATTCATGAAAATTACTGGTAACCGAATCCTTCTCACAATAGTCGAGAACACCAAAACAATTTTGTAGTGTTCTACGAATGAATCAGGCTCACAGATAGCTTGAAAATGACTGTTTTTCTCAGTTCAATCGATAAATATTTAGGTTCACCGTCAATGGACGCGACGTTGGAGCAAGCTATCGAGATTTCAACACCGACGGTTATTTCTTCCCTGTGATGTCGTTAAGTGCCAAAGTCAGGTCGGTGAGGCAACGCTTTTCGCCACGTTTTTTCCAAATAATGTGTCCAAAGAGGGTCATCTGATGAATGTTTCAGTTGCCGTTTCATTTTCGGTGGTGATCAAGGCCGACTTCGTTTCGGACCTCCGCCTGGGTTCTCTGCAGTGGTGGAGGCTGTCAGCGGTGAACTGCAGGTGAGTGCGTGATTATCGAACTTATCTAAAGTTGGGTTTGAGAATGGTAAAATTAATGCATTTTTTGTGCATATTTTTTCCTCGTTTGTATAGAAGCCACAGCGTGACATAGGAGATACTTTGAGTGACCATTTCAGTAGTATGTGACAAGTCAATAGGGACCTGTAGGTCGTGTCGGGGGGCATGCCGTATACGAGTACGATAGCTGGATGGCAGGCGGTAGCCCCAAACGGCTACTGGGTGAAGCGGGGTTTGCGAGAGTGCTGTGGCCTACACCACCCCCCTTCTCATCGATGACGTTAGCCAGCAACCGCGCGCCTCCAACGTCGTGCCGCACTGCCTCGTAAAGTTCCCACTGGGCAGGGATGCTTTAACTATGCTTGTGGTCCAGACGCCCAGACCGCCTGCAGCTCCTTCTATGCATACATTCTAAGTATGGGTGTGGTGGGTGTCACCCTGAGATCCTGAAGGCAGTAACACCGACACCGTGCGCTTCAATAATGTCTACTAAACCGCCCTCTCCCCAACACCGTTCGATGCGGGCTGCCACACACAAGCGGTCAAAAACCGGCCCTCCCTCACCTTTTATACAGGTTTCTCGATTTTGTGGAGAGCATGCGCCGATATTGGCGGCCTATTGCTACGAAAACTGCGTTTAGCGCTTAACTAATGTCATTGCTTTTGGAATCATAGTGCACCGAACGTCCTTCCACAGGCACATTTTCAACGCGAAAAATGTTTTCAGATTCGTGGCGGTGTCACAGTGCATAGCATCGACGTTCCTCTTGGGGTCTCGGAGGGCCTCGTTTGTTTTCTATAATACTATTCACTTTTGAGAGACTTTGTCCTCCTTTACAGATATCAGATTGCTTGTCATTCGGCGATCTACCCAAGAACGTCTATTGTGGTCCCCATACGCTATTTACTACAGTAGAGCCATTTGTACCGCAACCAGTTGATATCAGGTTGGAATACTTCATATTTAATTGTAATTCACTTGTGAAAATTTCTAAATATGTTAAGCAATATCATACTGCATCACCATGCTCAAGAAATCCACCAGAAATTCGCGGAAAATCTTCACGAGTTATGGGCCATGCGAAAGATTGAGCTTGGCTGGAGTTATGGCGAGGTGAGGTGTAGGCCATTACACGGACCTATTTCTTCCTTGCTTTATTCGGTCTAACGCTTACTCAAAACTGACTTCTAAAGTAATAGAAGCAAAAAGGATTGGCTGTTCCATCCGGTTAACCTTTTTCTCTCACTTCCCAACTGTGCATTGCTACATCATATTTTGTCTTTATCGATGTTCATTTGTTTCAGACTCGCTCCGAAGCCACAAAGGAAGCACCCGTGTCTCACTTCATTCGATCGTCTCCCATCCACTGAGAAACAGTACAATATCAACTTGTCTCTGGATACAATGAAAACAATTGAAGCACTTGGTTATCACCTTATCACTGATGCTCCCCCAACGAGGCTTCGACCTGTTCGATTAGCGCCAAAGTGAGTCTCGCCGCTTGATCAGTTTCAGCGCTGGTTAAACAATTATATAGACGTTTATTCCTTCCTACAAAAATGGGATCGAAGTTTGCGACTCAAAGTCACGTCCCGTGATCAAGTTATATGCGCAGTGTCCTCGTTGAGCCCGGTGCCCTGCATTCATTAGAACAGATCCTGAGTCTTAAGATACTCAGAAGTCTAGATAAATGGCGCTCAAATAACTTATGATCCGCGAAAGCAGCAGGCCTTTATCTGGCCTACATGACAACGACTTACAAGCCATGAAGTTACCCGCGCTTTAGCACCTGCTAGCTTTCGTAGGAAATTTCCTAGAAAAACACACGGAAGGTTAGTAGTGGGCAGAGGATGGCGGAGACTTCATTTCTCTCTGTTGCCTTCCTCATTGGCATTCCTTGTTTCGAGTACGGTAAGAAAAGAGAGCGCCAACGAGAAAGGCCTAATTGGGGACAAGACTCGCGCTTATTTTTTCTGCCCACTAGATCCTGTGGTAAAGGCCAGCGGTTCGCGATAAATTGAGGCTAAAACCTCTGAATTGTGCAGGATGAACAGGTAGGCACCCGCAGAGGCTGTACTGTACAAAAAAGTCGAAAACTAACAACCAGGAAAGCAAAACGCATCGATTTTAGGCCCATTGGCACCCAATAGGCCCATGCCGGCCTGCGTCGAACGTGTCATAGTGAAGATGCCACTGTGCTCTCTCACCGGCCGTTTTCTGGTCCCTCTCCTCTCCAGTCACTGTATCGTCGCCTTTTGCAGACCACAATTGATCTTGATCATCTTATGCTCGTCCGGTGATCACGGCAATAGCAATAAAGAGGGTCTTATTGCGGGCGGTTTTCGAGCTTCCCTCTTCTTGAGTAAGACAACAAGCACATGGCAATTCTTTTTTTTAACTGTATACTATTAGGTTGTCCGGAAAGTTCTCAGCGTTTTGGGTGTTTCACTTTAAGCGATCGTAACTTTCTTAATACTCATCGGATTTAATCGAAATAGGCACCATTCGAATCAGCACACTTTTGCCAATGTGAAAGCAGTCGAGAAATCCCATAAAAGGAAAAACTGGGTGGTCGAGAATCCACGAAATCTACGAAGGTCTTTTTTGCCTGGTCTTAATTGAAGAAGTATTTTTCAGCAAGGAAGTTCTGAAAATGTCTGAAAAGGTGACAGTCGGTTGGTGAAAGGTCTGGAGAATATGGTGGGTGAGGTAGAACTTCAACCCCAATTCGTTCAATTTATGGATAGTGATTTGTGAAACGTGTGGGCGGGCGTTGTCATGCAAAAGAATCGGACCCTTTCTTTTGATAAGTGTTGGCTGCAGCTGACAATAGAACATTTGGTCGGTTTGTTCACAGTAGGGTTCTGCTGTGATGGTTTGGCCTGGTGATGAAAAGTTATAGTGGATTACAACAGCCGATGACCACCAAACCTGACCAGAATTTTTTTTCGTGAGGGTTCGGCTTTGAAAATTACCTCGGTGGTTCCTCCAAATCCAACCACTGTCCGGAACGTCTCCTGTTATCATACATGATCCATTTTTCATCACAGGTGACAAATCCGTTCAAAAACGGGTCAATTCTTTTGCGCAAAAGCAGTGAAGAAGGAACCTCGAGACGTGCCGATTCCTGCCGGTCACTCCGATTGTGGGGCACCTAATTGTCGGGTTTTTTCACCTTCCCAATGCGTTTCAAACAATCTACAACACTGGATTTGCCAACGCCTAGCTTTTCTGCAATCTCTCGAACTGTTTGGGATGGGTCAGCCTTCAAAATCTCCTCAAAATCCTCGTCAGATATTGCTTTAGGTCGACTGCCATGAGGTTCATCTTCAATGCTGAAATCTCCTGAACGAACTTTGTTGAGCCATTGCAGCACAGTGCTTTCTCTAGCACTATTGGGCCCCCACACCTGGTTAATTTGTTGAGCTGTTTCGATTGCGGATTGCCCAATTTATAGTCGAAGAAAAAAATCGTCCGAAGTGCTCTTTTCACATGCTTGAAAAAATCTTGAAAAAAGGGGTTATCAAGCAATGGTGAAACGGCAATTATACCATCAGATAGCGCAAGAAATTCTCTACAGGATGTGCTACTGAGAAAGCAAGGCAGAATGAGTTTTTAAACAGCAGTGAATGTACAAAAAATAGGTGCACAAAACGCTAAGAACTTTCGACAACCCTAATATGAAGTGTGGTCGCAGGAATTGCCTTTAAGTCGCAATAAGTCCAGTAAGCCGTTGAGTGGATTACATGATTCTGACTTTCTTGCTCGTAACTTCACTCTGACAGATATTCACTGGTTTCAGTCGTTGACAAATCTTCCTGTCAGCTCTCGAGAGATTGAGTGATCTGGGCTGGAAGGTTCTCTGTGTATCCTATCCACCGTATTTAGGCCTGTCATGTGGTAGTCTGCGCTGCGTTCGTGTCCCGTCCACTTCTTAATAACCATTGGCAGCCTATTTCCCGCTTATCCAGTAATGAGTCGAAGAATTCACACGGCGTGAATCAGGTTGTCTGAATAGATGATTAGCTTCAGGAGTCCCTCACGCTCGGATGCAATTGGCGTTCTCCTCGTCACTATCCATTAAACAATAATACCAGTCTCTTATCCTGACTGTTCCAGAAGAAAAATTTCCTTTGAATTTCAGTTTTCCAAGCAATCAAACGGCTACAAACCACAACCACTGGACACACACGAGATTATACTTCCAGAAGAATTGAATCCACTTATTGAAGCGCTGGCTAGGAACACTCACAATGTGTGGGCCAGAGAAAAGATCAAGAGGGGATGGACATTTGGACTCAGTGAGGTAGTGGTTTACTGTTTTTACTATAGAGGTTCTTTCAGACGAATCGAAGATGCTTCTTCGGAATCTTTTAGTATCGACTGCTTAATACGGCTCTCTTAGTTTGGTCTACGCGAGAAACTTTTCACACTACTTGTTTTTTCCGCCGTGCAATACTTGTTCCCCCCGCCACACTTGTTCGGCTGCTTTTTATGAGAAAAATGGTGAATTTTTGGAGAAGTGATATAGGGTTGGAAGTGTTTGGGAAAGCGGTGGACAAAATGTGGAAAGGATTACCAATTCGGCTATTTGGGAATTATATAGGCCGCTACAGACCTAGCGATGTCCACCCATTGCAGACCATTGATTGGATAGAATAAGTGGCAGACTCACAAAGACAGCGGACCCATCCGCCCTCCGCAGCGGTGCTGGGACTAATGCTGGAAGTGGAAGAAAGAAATGGCTGTGATCGAAGGGTGACAAACTGAGTGAAAAATTAAGCATGGCTCCTCTGAGGTAGCAGTTTCACAGAACATGCATACTCGCCAGTTTCCACTATCATTACGAATAGCTTGCTCACTTTGCTCAAAATTGATGTGAAGTTCAAATAACCGTGACCTATATTAACATTTAGTTTGTCGACTCCTCCCAGAAACGTTCACCACATCTGGTACCGTACGAGGAAGTTGATAATAGAATCAAGGAGGCCAATAAGGTAGCTTTATAAAGTTTCAAGCATAATGAGACGAACCGAGAGAGGGGGTGGTAGCTAGGTGTAACAACAATGAATTCCTTTGCCACTACCAATTCTTTTCAGGAATCAGCCGCTGAAAATCTTCCGAGCCCTCCAACTATTCGGCATTTTCATTGAGCCTCCTGCACACGAACACGACGAGTGTAAGAGATACCACCAGTCATGATGCGACTTTATCCAATTGGAACAATGACCCTCGTTTTTCAGATGCTGAAAAAGAGATGCGAGCCCGCAGAGACCTTGTGCGTACATATCGCGCTGAAGCAACGTATGCGGTGACCAAGTGGCAAATGGTAACCATCTTAATAGCCTTTCACTTCCACATAGCGGTCAGCATACCTGAACATTACAGGTACTTCGAATTCGAAATCCTGACAGCTGGGTTCATGAAGATCGGTTGGATGGACGTTGGAGCTTCGCCAGACATTCAACTTGGCCATGATGATCGAGGATATGCCTTTGATGGGTTTGTAGACGTCCTATTCTATGTGCATTCCAACTATTCCCCTTCTGAGGAATTCAGGAATTTCAATAGGAAACCATAATGCCTATTCATTCGACATTTTTTTGTATTAGCTTAGTTGGAGATCTCATTTCCCCCCTTCTTCCCAATTGCGCCATTTTAGCTACCTCGGGCGCAAATGGCATCAAGGTGCAGAAAGTTACGGCAAGGAATGGAAAGTAAAGCGTATCCTATTTTGTAGTATGCGCTGATAAATTACAGTTTTGTTCGTTACGGATGCTGGAGCGTAACAGGGGAGGCCGAATTTGGCGCTGCGCCAGCCTGTTCTCCACAAGATCTTGGAGACAAGCGACAAGGATTGGTAGAAAGCAGGCTGTTGTCGCTGCAAACCCGATAACTGACACGCCCCAGCATCCACAGTGAACAAGACTATATTTTGATCTCTTTGATGATACCGGATCGTTGGTACATTGGAATTCAGATTGGTGACGTTGTCGGTTGCTTCTTGGATCTCAACGACCGGACTATTAGCTTCTCACTCAACGGAGAACTGCTCCTGGTGAGTTGAATTGAATACACTGTCAGAGGCAAAAGTTCGCGATCAGATATTCTGGGTGTGGAGCTTAAATAGGGGTGCCAAGATGCTACGAAAGCCAATGGTAGAGGAAAATAGGGAAACATCGCCAATGCACTTCATAAAACCCCCTAACGAGCGCATTTGTACAACCGGGCGAGGAAGGGTGTACGAGATTACCGGACAGCGCTGTTGTGGTGGATGCACTTCGCAGGAGTTGACTCCAGCTGATTTTATTATTGACAACCATATTCCGCAGAAGCAGTTGGAATCAAGCCTGCTTACGATCCTCGGTCGGTCTCCCCTTATTACAGCGGGTAGAGTGGGCGGGGCCAATGAAGGCGGGTTGGGCCATCGAGAGGAACCCAGCATGGTGCTCTCGCTAACAGTTTTGTACCGAGTAACCAGGTGGGCAGGAGACCATAAGCATTAGGACACATTGGCGCACCCCTTCCCCTAACCATACTAGGAGGTGAGGCAGATCAGTGTAAAAAGCTCACTGGCATGGGTCTTTCACCTCACAACCGATGCTCGAAATGTTTTCAAGTTTTATTTCTCCCTGCTAATTTCCAGCTTTACGCTATTTTATTCGCTTTAGGACCCATCCGGTTCCGAGATGGCATTTGATAACGTGCTTTGTGGTGACGGTCTCGTTCCAGCAATGTCTCTTGGAAGTGGTCAAAGAGGTTACTTTACTTGTTGTACTCTATTTTTCCCCTTCAAGGTTCTGATCCTAGGCACAGTTCGGCAGGGGGGGGGGACATTTTGCACTTTCGCTACTTCCCGTGACCAATAATTGATCGACGTGTCGACTCATCTGGACAGCCTCTTCTCGAGTTTACAGGTTTTACCATGATGGCTTGACGAGCTTGATCCAGCTTCACAAGAGTTCACAGG